GATGACTGATAAATAGTTTACTACTTTTTGATCTTTCAAGAAATAAGAAAATCTTTAACAAAAATGCAAAAGTCGGTGAGGGACTTGTGAGAATCAGCACAAGAAACTCTATTAGAATCACTAAAGGATGTAAAGAAGAATGTGTAGGATAAAAAAGACTTTGACTAGGAGTATCTTTGAGACACTACAGAACTCGGTGAACAACTTGTAAATGCACCATAATGGGAGCAACTAGAAACTGTGAAAGTTGTTGAATTGCATAACTAATATCAAGTCGAGTATCGATAAACTATTAAAGTTTACCAACAAGTTGCCTGTAAACAATGGTATCAGTAGGAGGAGAACCATCTTGTTTAACTAGCTTTGTAGAAGAAACTAAGAGAGTAGACACTCGCTTGCAGCCCAAAAAACCTGTGTCCTTTAACAAGTCTAAAATAAATTTTCTTTGAGAAATATTGAGACATTCTACTGATTAAAGAATTTTAAGTCCTAAGAAGAACTTCAACTCACCAATATCTTTTATTTTCAACTCAACATGAAGAAAATCCTTTAGTGATTGAATTTCAGCCAAACTGTCACTTGCATGAATGAGATCATCCACATATATCAAGAAAGCAATAAATGAAAAACCTGAGTGTTTAAGAAACCAGGAGGATTCTGAACTACCTTGTACAAAGCCATTCTCTGTTAATGCAACAGTTAAACGAAAATGTTACTGCCAACTGACCTATTTAAGACCATAAAGATTCTTATTAAGTTTTTATACATGTTTATTAGTTATTGTGAAACCAAGGGGAAGAGTCATGTATACTTCATCCTTTAAGTCACCATGAAGAAATGCATTGTTAATATCAAGTTGATGTAAATACCAACCCTTAACAGCAGCCACTGCTAACAAGGTGTGAATAGTAGTCATTTTCGCAACTAGAGAAAAAGTGTCCAAAAAATCAATCTTGGATCGTTGAATGTAGCGTTTAGCCACCAATTAGGTTTTATACTATTCGATTAAGCCATCAACTTTTCTTTTAATCTTATACAACCACTTACAATCGATTGATATTTTTTCAAGAGATAAATCAACTAACTCCTAGGTACTGTTCTCTTTTAAGGCCTTAATCTCAACAAGCATTGCCTCTTTCTAATATTGGAAATTTATGGTTTGATGATAAGTCTTAGGTTTGGTATCTTGTGATATAGCAAAAATAAAGGGCTTGTGTGTAGGGTCCAAATTTGGGTACAAAAGTGAATGTGAAATACAGGGCGGAGTTGATGTGGAATTGATGCAAGACTTAAGAACATACAAGTAATAATCATTCAAATGAGATGGTTGTCGTGTAGACCTATTGGATTTTCTAAGTGGTAATTGGTTATGAATAATAGGTTATGTTGTATCAAAAGGTGATGAAGCATGTATAACAGGTTGAGTAATTTGTTCAAGCATAGAATTAAAGGAAACAGAATCGGAAGGAGATTACAAGGAACATTACCAGAGTGAATTGATTCAGGTGAGCTGCCCAAGTCTGCATTGCCTTGATGCTGTAAAGATTGAGGTTGATCAATGTACCCAATCATCAAGTCATCAACACGAGGAAATACAAACAAATTGGAATCGTTATTTGTAGAAGAGCTTAATGGAAAGATGTGTTTAATAAAATGTACATAAGGGGAGACAGACTTTATGAGTTTTAATATTGTATACCTTATACCCTTTAACACGGGAAGGGTATCCAATAAAGACATTTGGTAGCTTTGTGATCAAACTTAGACTTCCTAGCATTAACATTGGATACATAGCACAAACACCCAAAAAAATTTAGATGTTTATACTTAGGAACATAATGAAATAATAATTCAAAGAGAGTCCTATTATTGATGACTGGAGAAGGCAACAGGTTTATTAAATAAACTGCATGCAACATACTGTCCACCCAAAACTTTTTAGGCAAATTGGCTTGAAACATCAGCGACCTTGCCACGTTCATAATATGTTAATGTTTTCGTTTTACCATACCATTATGTTATGGTGTGTATGGGCAAGAACATTAATGTATGACCCCTTGCATAAAAATCAGACATCTTAAATTCTTGGCCATTGTTGGTCTGAACACATTTAATCTTTGCATTATATTGTGTTTACACAAATGCAAAGAAATTAACTATGATTGATCTTACTTCTCCTTTTGTCTTCATGAGATACAACTATGTGTACCGACTCTTGTCATTAACAATAGTGAGAAAATAATAATGTCCATATATAGAGGGAGTAGATAAAGGACCATAGATATCAATGTGCACAAAATTAAAAGAAAGATTACCCACTGAATTGCTAATAGGAAACGAAAGTCGTTTTTTGCTTTAAGAAATTACAAACTTCACAAATAAAGGAGGTACAAGGAGTAATAAAATGATCTATTTGATGTATAACATGTAGTCCTTGTGTAGAAGGGTGACCAAGACGAAAATGCCACAGATTGTGGTAATTAACATTATTGGTATACTAAGGAGATTTAGAATTGGTAATAGAACAAGCAAAAGGATTGGACTAAATAACATTCACAAAATTGACATTATTTATCTTTGGTGCATCAAGATAATATAGTCCCTGCCTCTCTTTAACTGAACCAATTTTTCTCTTGGTGTGGGCATCTTAAATAACACAACTACTGTCATGAAAGGTCAAAGAACAAAGAGAATTTGTTATCAGTCTACTCACAGAAATCAGGGTTAAGAGTAAAGTGAGGTGTGTATAATGCAGTATAAAGAACTAGCATAGGTGAAATATGAACATCACTTATACGTGTAACAAGGATTGTTTGGGAATTAAGAAGTGTTGACATGAATATTTGGTTGCCTAAATAATGTGATATTTTTTTCTATATAGCTTTTACTATTAATTTCTTATAATTATTCAAAATCCTTATTATAAAGAAAATTTTCTTATTTGTACTTAAGAATTTTTGTATATATATGAGTCATTTGTAACACCAAATATAGAGTGGAAATAAAGTAAATATTTTTTTCTATATTTCTACATGGTATTAGAGTAAGGGTATTTTAGGGTTTTGCTTTTAGAGTTTCTTTCAAAATCCTAGAATCTTCTCATCAGCCACCCAAAACAAAGGGATAGTCTCACCAGGCGGCAGCCGCCCTACTCTAGCGACTATCTCTACCGTACCCAACCTACTTACTCCGCTTAACTTCAGCGATTCAAGCGATATTTAGCGTGCAGCTCTCTAGTTTGCGTTCTCAACTCATCTAGTTCGCGTACCATATGCATCTGCTCCTCTGCACACAACCCTCTGCTTGCTCTGTCTGCTTGCAGTGGTTCATGCGGCATTTCGCGCGCAACCCTCTGCTTTACATTTTGATCTGTCCGCTTACAGCTATTCACGCTACTTCTTTCTCTGGTTCGTGCTTCGAGCCTCCCGTTCGCATAAGACACCAGTTTGCGCACAAACAACTTTGCAGCCTGACCCGATCGGTTTTCTGGGATTCGCGTGGTTGCGTGCAATTGTTGTCCACCCAACCGCGCATGGTCGTGATCTACCTTCCCTTGGCACGCGAATAACATCTGTTTCCGGAGCTTAAGTGCGTTGTTGAGGTGAACCGCTTCCAAGCTGATTTGAGCCATTTTTTGGAGCTGATTTGAGCTGTTTTTGCTATTCAACAAATATGGTCCCAGTTTGTAGAAATTTTGGCATCTTTGATAATGACATGAGTTAAGAGACTGTTAATTTCAAGTTCGGGTTACTCTTCATCAACTATTGGCACGTCAAAAATGGTAAACTCAGGTATTACTCATCTCCCTACTGTTTCCAATTCTAATACTTAAATTATAGATTCTGAAGATAACAGACACATGACTGGTTCTTCTAAAGATTTTCTGACCTATTTTTCTTATACTCAATGAGAAAATATCTGTGTCGTTGATGGATCATACACTCTTGTATCTGGAACAAGTTCCGTTAGTTATACTATGACCATTCTGCTAACTTCAGTTTTCATGTGCCTAGTTTTGCTAACAGTCTCTTATCCATTAGTGCCCTTACTAGAGATCTTAACTGTAAAATTGAATTTTTTTCTTACTATTTTGTCTTTCAAGATCTTCAAACAGGAAAGACGATTAGCACGGGTAGACTACTGGATGGCTTATATGTGTTAAATAGAAGTCAAAACTTCATTAAAAATCAAGCTGACTTCGGAGATACGGATGTCAATAGAAAAATTCTATAATTGCATCGACGGTTAAGATATCTTTCTTTCTTTACTTTAGAAAAATTATATATCACATTGTTTAAAATTTTTTTTTTATGGATTTCTTATTTTGTTATGCATGTGAACTAGCGAAACATAGAAGAAGTTCATATAATGTGAATAATCATAGAAGTCCTACTATTTTTATGATCATTCATTCTAATATTTGGGAACCTACTTAGAATATATTTTTATCTGTTTATAGATGATTTGTTATTTTCATTTACTGCTATATTAGATTAATATGAATTTATCTGTTGAAAGCTAAAAGTGATGTATTCCTATGCTTTTAATCATTTCATAAAATGGTTAGTACTTAGTTTGATACTCAAATTAAAATTCTAAGATTAAAATTTTAAGATCAGACAATGGTACAGAATATATAAATGGTGGATTTCGTACCTACTTGAAATCTTATAGGATAATTCATTAGATAAATTGTGCTTATACCAGTGAACAAAGTGAGGTTGCTGAAAGAAAAAACACATATTAGACGTAGCTCGGTCACTAATGTTCACTATGTATAAGGTGTAACAGTTTGAGCCCCAATATCGGTGGGTATAGACGTTAGCACAATATTTTCAACTAGCGGAACAGATAAATATTAAATATGCAGCAGAACTATACTTTAATACATATCTCTTGTGATATGATAATTATTTATAAATAAATAATTAAGCCATTTAAATTAATTTATAAATTTAAAATAGAAACTAATAAGATTTTCTTCACAATCTTCTATTGATCTTAGACTTATTTTTCATTTCCACTCACTTGTACATATTAAACTTCTTTTAACCATATTGAATTTTGATCGAAGATGGGCGGGGGTATGTATGTCCATCTCCAAACCTATTGTTTTAACAAAAATATAAATTTACACTTGTTTGAATCTGAGTAGAAAATTATTTAAAAATATTTAAATAAATAGTTAAACTTTAATTAAAAAATTTAAAGTATTAATCAAAATATAAATATAAATTAAAATAATATTTATTAATTAAAATATGATATTTTTAGTAAAATTGAAAATAAAAATAAAACGCCATTAATCTTATGTAGCAAGGAGAGACGTGGATATATTATTAAATTCATATTTTCTTATGTTTGTTTTGGATTTATAATTTTTAATTACGGAGTCTTATATCTCATTAATTGTAAATTTTTAATATTTTTACTAAATAATTCTTTTTTAAAAAAATAATTTAGTCGATACAAATTTAAATCAGATAATAAAATATATTATACTCTAACATTTAGTGTTATTTTAATTTTATATTATATTTAATTTATCTAAATTAAATTTATAAATAGTTAATTAATACGTAAATTAATTATTATTAATTAATAAATGTTGATAAATTATAGTTATTAAGCTAAAATTAAAATTATATAACTTTGACAAAGTTAAAATTAGTATTGTTGATGGTTTATTTTTTTAACACTAGTCTTCAAGTGTTTTGAGAAAAAAAATGTATGGTTAATTTGAAAAATCAATTTTCAACTAAATTAATATAATATTTTTTGTTTTAAATATTTTAGTTTTGCGGCGTGCCACTGTGATCGGAGCAAAATACCATTGCAAGCCCAATTATGAAGCCGAACCCAAGGCCACATGACGTTTTTCAATGCCGCCTCCGCTCTCTCCCAAGTCCAACATAGGCAACCAAAAATCCCCTACTACAAGAACCCATAAAGAAAGAGAGAGTGGTTCTGCGAATCAGAACGAAAGAAAGAAAACCAGAGGTCAAGAACCGCCATGAGCGATCACCACCATCACCCGAGTCTGAGTCACCTTCGAACCACCTCCCAGCTATTGAAGCAAACAACATCGTCCTTCAAATCGCATCCAATCGCATTTTTCTTCCTCTCCCTCCTTCTATTCTCCTTCCGCTCCTTCGTCGATCACTGCTCCCTCCTCCTCACCTCATTCATAGACCGTGACCCTTCTCTCCACGCACTGCTTTCCCGTCTACCCCTTAACTCGAGTCCGAACGCTGACACGCGCCATAGTTTCCCCTCCACGCGCCACCACTATCGCCCCCACCGCCGTCCACCTTTTCTCCACCTCACGCGCGTCGGGACTCTCGACGACGACTTCTTCTCTACCGAAGACGAAGACCCCCACCGCCGCTCCATCCTCGGCTTCCCCTTTCAATCTCCGCCGAATGGCACGGCTGTATTTCTCTCTGGCTTTCACCCTTCTACGGGCTTTTCACAATCTATCCCCGACAACGGCCTTCTACTGCACCGGATCATCCGTCCTGATGTCGTTTTTAGATACCCATCTGTTGAGAGCGGTGATGAGAATGAGAAAGAAACAGATTACGATGATCCTAATCGTCATCTTGACCGGGAAAATGATTATCAAGAGGAAAAGAACGGAAAAGAATTGGAGAAAATTGTGGATTTCAGGATGTTCTTGAAGGGGTTAGAGCTGGGTCGACGCGACGCCGCGGCTTTGTTCTTTCTGGTGAGTTTCTTGTCCGCTGCTTATGGGTGGGTGATTCTAGGGTTTACAGCGATATATTCATGGGTTTTAGGAGTCGTGTTTGTTACCGTGATAAACGATCTAATTGGTAGGTTTTGTTCATTTTTTGGGATTGTTTGGGATGGGTCAAGATTAGGACTGAAGAGAGTAACTGGTTTCATATTGATGAGGTGGGCAGTAAGAGACGCATTGACCCAGCTCTTGGGACTATGGTATTTCGGCGAGATTGAGGATCAGTACTCTTTTCTGAGGCTCTTTGTGAGACTGAAATTAATGCCCTTTTCCGTTATGTCACCGTGGATTCGAGGTTTTGAGAAGGAGACTTCAGGGTTCTTGTTTACTTGGTTTTTGCTGGATACTTTTGTGGGGTTCGTATTTGCAGTGGATGCTTGGGTTGCCATTGTGGATTCGAGGAGGACTGGGAGGGAGATAGTGAAGGAAGGTTGTTATTTGATATCCACCATGTTAAATCAGGCTATACAGCTCAAGTGTTTTGAAGCTATCCTTTGTGGGTCATTTGCTAGGTGGATATTGGCCCGGGTCTTTTGGAAATATTTTGCTGCAGTTTTTCAGTCAGCCATGGAGGTTTACTTCATGGTGGCTTGGTTGATATTTTACTTAGCCGCAAGGTGTAAGGATGCACATATGGAAGGAAGAAGATTTGGCAGAAGAGAGTTGGAAGGCTTGGTTGATGGCCAGAGATGATACTAATGGTAGTCAGTGATGGTCCTGGTTTGCAAGAGATTACTTCAGTTGTAATGCTAAAACTAGCAATCAGACAGTGCTATGTGTTCTCATGTTTTGCTTTCCTGATGGTTCAGCACTGCCATTGTTTTGGTATGGTCACCAACCATGTGTTGTATGTATTTGTCATGAGGCAATATACTTTTTTGTGTATATTATCCACGAGAATGCTTGTCTATATTTCATTGCCATCATTGTTTTCAAACTCCTTGTTGGTAACCCTTTGATTGGTGACCGTGCTATATGCAGTGAGAATGGTATTCATTTAACTCATTCTAAATATTCAGCATGTTGTTGTACTACATAACTTTTTCCTTCTGTGTGGCATCTGGTTGTTTTGGATAAATTTAGCTTTTCAATGGATGTATAGACTATGATGGATTTCCTGAAGTTTATATTGTCCTGTGATATACTAACTTTTCATTTTGATATATCATGCTTGAGGGAAAATAAGGAAGAGAGCGAATTTGGTGAGATAGGCTGTGGGCAAACCAATCATTATAGAGTAACTATTGTGAATTTTGGGAAGAAGTGCATCTTATTTGAATGTATAAACAAAAAACTATGGATAGAACTTTTATTGGACATTATAATGGATGGTAGGTTGGTGTTTCTGAGGTTACAAACTCCATAATGGAAGGTACACTGCCATGGTAGCATTTTACAAACTCAATAACATACGTTATCTGCTGGAGATAAATTTCCGAGGCTTGTTTGGTTTAAACTTGCAACATCTAGAGTATGATTTTTCTGAAAAAGCATCACCACTATGATAGTAGCACTATGCTGAAAGATCACTCTTATTTTAGATATTGATTCATAAACCTGTGAACTTCAATTAGAAATGCCTTTGGAATCTTGATTTGATTTTGCCGTAGTGCTTGGCTAATAAAGTCACAAAGAGGAGGATCCTGAATTTGTTTAGTTAACATTGTGGCAGTTCAGTGCACCAGTGAGGTGTTTAGTTAACATGATCANNGAGAGATTTTGTTTTTGTAGCTTCCTGAGGTGGACAGTGAACTTTTCCTTGTTATTGGTCAAGAGGACCATAACGCTCAGGGGAATATTCTGGCTTAGTCTTATTTTTTTGAGCATGCTTGGTTCTACTTGGGTTCCAGCATCATATTTAATGAAGGAGATTGTTTGGAGCTTGCTGGGACATTTACCCTCAGTAAAGACCGTGGAACAGAGAGAAAATAGATTAGAACAGAAGAACAAAGGGAGCTCAAAGAAGAAACCGAGAGGAGAGAAAGAGTTGAGAGGAAATGTTGAAATTATATTTAAAGTACTTCTTACCATGCACATATCTTCGAGAGTATTGAATTTATATACAAGAATAAAAAGCTGAAATTCCATGAATCGGCTGGAATTGCCGGAAAACCCGAGAGCCATATTCAGAAAAACCCTAGGCGGCAGAACAAATCCGTCAACTTCTAAATCTTAACCCTTCATTGCCCTTAAATACCCTTAATGATCGCCTTCCACGTGTCCCAGGTTGCAGATAGATGGCCAAGATCTTTCTTCCCAATCATTGTAGATGCATGTTAATCCTCGAGCTCGGATGGTGCCACGCATCCTAGCTCTTCATCGATCTTGGCCACATGTTTTAATCTCCTTTGATACGCTTTAAAGCTGTTTGTTTCCCAGCACTCGGTTTCACCGTCCTCTTCATGCACCCATTCTGATCTCCTGCTACCATTATCATCCTGCATCCTTTTTAATTCCCTGTTTCTCTGCTTATTCTCACTTTTGTGCTTCCACTTTGATTCCTTGCTTCCAGACCCATTTTCATCCGGGTGTTCTAGTCTTCTAACAGAGACCTACATCAGGCAAGCATAGGCAATCATGGAACATGTTTAGAATGGTGTCAGTATCAATTGATTCAGGTGCATAGTTCCAGGTATCTCGCACAATAAACTTGAAATTTGCCTGAAGGAACAAATCTTTGTTGTAGGGCTTTATCTTATACTGCTGTCTCGGAGCTGGTGGTGGAGGAGCGCTCGATTGAGGTTGAGCAATGGAATTATAATGAATCAAGGGCTCCTCCTCATTCTACAAGACGGCAATATAAGACAAAGCCTACAACAACGATTTGTTACTTCTGGCAAATTTCAAGTTTATTGTGATACCGGGAACTATTTACCTGAATCAATTGACTCTGAAAATTTGGTACCAGAACCAATAGGATCTGACGAATCGCGTGCGACGTTTGTGGGCGATGGTAAGAAAAATCAAAAGGTAAGTTTTCTATTATCTCATTTTCAGTCTTAAATCTCTGTGTCTTTCCCAAACTTTCTCTCTATTTTCTGCATAGTGGCCATGTATATATCAAAGGCTTCTGACAGATGGTATGAACTATATAGGTGTTTTAGTTTCTTGTGTTCCTTTATAGATAGACAGGAATTGCTGAACCTCAGACTATTTACCTATTGGGTCATTTATCAAATGCTGTTTAGTTTGGGAGCTTCTACAGCATAGTAAAACCCTCCAAGAATGTTCAACCAGCCGAATGAATGATTATCCCTTGCCAAGAAGGAAAAAAAAAATGTTTGCGGAAACCCAGCAAGCGCTACCCTCGGTTGAACCTTCCTTGCAGGATGTCCTTTGCCCTTTTGCATGCCAAGCTGAGGATCACTCGAAGTAGCCTTACAGCTTTAGGAAGTTTTTTATGTGTTTTCCTCGTAAGAGCTGAGCTTCATTACGATTCAATGCTGTTTAGGATTACAATATTCATGGAGCACTTGGAGCTCCAGAGAAGCAAATTATTATTTCAATTCTGTATATAGAACTCTATCCATGAATATCTTATGATGCTTAGCTTGTAAAGAAATTTGTACCAGAATGCTGAGTTCTGCCATGCTGCAGCAGTTTTGTTTTGTACCATAGAATTTAGATTCTGATTCTGATTCCTCATCTTGGGGTGGTTGACATCTTCAGAATGATTCCCATTATACAGGGAGTTATTTTATCACTGGCCTCTTAATTCGTTTGCTCTAAGGATATAATACGTTTACTTCTTATGGAGGATTTTGTTGTTTTATATTTTTGTTGTTTATTGAAATTTGAAATACAATTAATGTATACTGAATTTTACAAGAAGTGAGATGGAAACTTGTGTTTTATATTTTGCATATCTGATTGATTAAAGTGGCAAAATTTGGGACACAAGAATGCCAAAGAATATTCCTCCTGCAGTTTAGTTGTGTTGAATCCCTTCTCTATGTTCTCCATTCAGGAATATCTTATTATTTATGTTGCTGTTAATATGTACATGACTGTAACTTAATATGTTGACTTTTGATTCAAGGCAATCATGCTGTTATTGCTCAGAAGCTCACAAAAAATCCGTTCTCTGTGCACTTGAGAAAGATGCAGGTTGAGTCAGTAAAGCTGGTGAACTTAGAATTTAATGAGCTTGTAAAAATTAGTTGAGTATGTTTTAGCTTGAATCTTATGAAACCTGGACTAGTATTAGCAAGAGCTGAATTGGTTTGCATGCTTATCATATATCCTGAGATTGTATAGTCCTTTCAGCGCCTCTGAGCTGTGGCCGAAATTCATCAATTAATATCAAATCAGTGTTTTGTTCTTTATCAAATGTTGCAGAAGATGAAGAATGTGTACAGGAGGAATTGCTGGTTCAAATTTATGATTGTATTCAAAGTTGGGGAAAATTCTTTCTTTTGCTTAAATTCCGATGAAAAGATTTTGGAATTCTTCCAGTGATCTCCCTGCTTTTTTGACCGGTGGCAGTATTCTTGGTTCTTGGCCTTCCCATAGAAAAATACTGAAGTGATTCAGAATTTCAGATGTAGATCATGTAACGATAATGCAGTTGTCAGCGTTTTACCCAGCTGGAGTTATCAGCG